CAAGCTAAGCATATTTTATCTTTGTTATAGTAAAAGCATTATAGTCAGAAATATGACAATTAGGTGTAATGTGGTTTTTTTTTCTTAATAGCTGAAATAACTAATAACAAACAAAAGAAAGGGAAAAAAAGAGAAAAAAATAAACAAGAAAGCCCTATTGCAGATCAGTAACCTACAATCTTTTGTCTGCAGAATATAAGTGCATTTTTTCTTCCACTGGACAGGTTTATCTGAGGAAAAAAGAAAAGCAGAGTAAATTTAGTCCCGGAGAAATGCAATATAAAGCAATACCTAAAACACAGTTAAGCAATATACACTATGCTATCTTATTGCTGTATCAACCTAATTTATTTCTATCTACCCCATTGTTTAATTATAGGTATAAACAAAGCACAATTCAAGAGCTATATAATGTCAATGAACATTACCTACATTTCATGTTTATGTCTATGGATGCTGCAGTATTCCAAATAGCAATTTGTGGATTGGACCTTGGACCACCAGCCCCAAAGGGGCATTTTCCAGCTGCTGTCAGCATTGTTTGTTTGTGACAGGTTCTGTTTGTCCATCCCTTCATGTTCGTGCTTAAAAGACACACCTTCACATACTTGAAAGCATAGGTATGTTTAAATATTTATGGAATGAGAAGAATTTTTTTAATCTTTCTCTAAAAGACTGTTGGCTGGAATTTGCATGTTGAAGTACACATGCTGCAGATGCAAACAATTTTTAAAGCCAGCTATTGAAAACACACTAGCACCCTAATATAAATCATATTCACAGTAAAATGGGTTTTTTGTATGCTCAGCCCACAGCAAGTAAAGCAGCCCTCGTCAGAGCTGCTGCCCCAAAATACACATGCAGTGTCGTGTCCTGTGTGTAGAGGTGGGCAAGGGCTGTATTCCAAATGGTGGAGGTTAAAAATATCCACTGAGTCACACTGTGTCTCTTGAGAGACAGTAGTTAGTGGCTGAAAGGTGACATCTTCATGTTCTTAAATCTATTCTCAAACACTGTTTGCGTAAGTGACCGGAGCTCCCAATTTTGCAAAATCGGATAGTTGGTTCAGTGATGGTTGAGGTTCGCTTACTCACCTGGCACAGAAAAGAACTGGAAAGATGCTTGCGGATGTTTATTGTCTTAATAAGTGGTCGCTTAAAACACCTCTGCTCTTAACTTTTGCATAAGGCTTTCTGCTCTGTCTTGGGCACAGTCGTCTCTGAGGTGGCATGTCTATGTATGGGGAAGAGGGTGCTCAAATCTTAGATGCTCATCTGAGGAAGACAATGGCAGACTGTGCAGTATCTCTGATTAGTGCTATTTTATTAGCATCCAGCTCTGAGTTAGGTATAAGGCTGTGTCTTCTCCAGTGCAAAGTAAATCAGGTTGGTATAACCTACTGGTGACTCCCATAGCACAGTGTGGAAGGGAAGCCAAGTGCACTGAGCCAGGTAAAGGTAGCTCTTACTGGTGGTAGATTTCAGTTGCTTTCTCCAAGGTAAGACTGGTGCCTGCCTATGTGAGCTTCTCCTCCACCTTGTTTTGATGCGAACCAGCAGTAAGTTAGAATCACAGAACCATGCAACAGACCAGCTTGGAAATGACCTTAAAAGGTCATCTGGCCCAACCTTTCATGGGAAAGTGAGCCTAGATTATCTAGCACCCTGTCCAGCTGCATCTTGAAAACCTCCAGTGAGGAGGTTGTTCCAGTGATTTATTGTTCTGATGGTAAAAAATATCTTTATTGTATTGAGATGAAACTTGGTGCAACTTGTACCCATTGCCGCTTCTCTTCTCCATGTGGCTCCTTGTGAAGAGACAGCCTCTATCTTCTTTGTAGCCCCACTGTAAGTACTGGAAAACTGTGATGAGGTCAGAAAACTGCTTGAGTTAAGCTCACCTGTTCAATGCTGCACTGGGAGGGAATGGGATAGAGGCATTCACACCTTCAGGGATAGCTATGAGCAATGTAAGTGGTTACTGCCTCCCTGCTGTTTGGTACCACCTTCCCTCTGTCTTCAGTAGAGATGATGGAAGCACTGCATGCCAGCGTAGCTAATGAAGAACACGCATCCAGCATGTACAGGCACAATGATATGAACTGTGGATTGAGAGGGGAGATGTTGAGCTGTGTCCACATCCTGAAGGTTTCACTAAAGAGTGAGCTTCTCTCAGGTCTGCCACCCACTACTGGTACTTGCTAGGACTGCATTGACAAAGTGCAGAAACCCGCAGTGCATGAGAAATGCTCAGTGGATGTTACTCATGCAGCAGTGACCATCTGTGATGGCTAGGTGGGCCCCATCCCTCCTCCCAGGGACAGGAGGAGGCCATGTGCCTCCTTGCCTACACCATGTGCCAGGATTTAATGCATACACCCAGTAGTCCTGCCATCACCCCTCCTTGCCCCAGGAACCAGCTGCTCCCGGCGGCGCGACTTCTGAAGTTGTCCTTGTGTATGCGGTCTCTTGTACGTGAGTGTTTTTACAAAGCATGGTTGCTGAGTGCTAGCTCTGCTATACGCTGCACACATTACGGGCTCTTCAGAGGCAGAGCTGATGCCCTGTGCAAACGAAGGAGCTTGTTATGGTTCATTCAGCTCTCATTCCTTTTCGTGTTCGGTCTGTGAAGGATGGCGTTTTGAGGACTGCTGGAGGAAGTTTTCACTGTAAAGAGGTCTAGCCATGCCTTTTAGATGATTAGCTCTCACGTTAAATGCAGAACCTGCTTTTAGCACGGACTTTTCCCATTCGTAATTTCCATCATCTGTTCTGCAGTTCTTTGGGACTGCTTGAGCCTCCCGAGAGCAGCGTGGTACCCCTGCTCAACCATTTCTCTTCTGAAGGCTTTTGCCACTCACCACCTGTGAAATCTTTGGCATGGATGGGCTTCCACTGCATACTCTTGTTTGTCAAACAAAATTTCAGGGAAATTATCCTTAATCCAAAAATTGGCTTTTATATTTTTGCTGATCCCCCAAATTTATTATTTATTACATAGGTATCTCGCATGTAAAGAATAGTTTTCTAAGCACTGAAGTTCTGGAAATCATCCAAAAATCTTTTTCTCTTCAGATAATGTGTAGACAGACAAAGAAGTTAAAAGGGTTGTGATCATTATTTGATAATACTTAGTGTGCTTAGTGGTAAATCACACTGAGAGAGCAAGCAGGTAATAAGCCCAAAAGGAAGAAAAACCAAACTGCACCATCTAAAATCAAGGTAACAACATCTGGATTTGTCTTCCAGAACTATGGACACAGTCTCCTCTTTGGTTGTTCCAGGCATTTTCCTTAGAAGGAAGATGCAACCATATAGCTCTAGTTCCTGCTGTATCACTTGACATTGAACAGTAGTGTAACCTGAACAATTTGTTAAATCCCAGTGTTAGTCCACAGAATTGTGACTCTTAGTTATCTGTACCCTTTTAGGAAGTGGGATTAAAGTCAAATTTCTTTGGGTGTTTCTTACCCAGGATTTTTGTTTCCTGGTGACATACTGGTAGTTTCTAAAATTGTTTTAATTTTAAAATCTCAAGGTCCTCTCACAAATACTTTGTGCATTTCTTTTTTTGTCGTGGGTTCCCTGGGTTTATTGCTGGTCACAACAACCCCAGGCAATACTACAGGCTTGGGGCAAGAGTGGCTGGAAAGCTGCCTGGAGGAAAAAGACCTGGGGGTGTTGGTCGACAGCCGGCTGAATATGAGCCAGCAGTGTGCCCAGGTGGCCAGGAAGGTCAATGGCATCCTGGCTTGTATCATATAGTGTGGCCAGCAGGAGTAGGGAAGTGATCGTGCCCATGTACTCAGCACTGGTGAGGCCGCACCTTGAATACTGTGTTCAGTTTTGGGTCCCTCACTACAAGAAAGATGTTTCATTGATGGGCCATGTCCAGAGGAGAGCCACAAAGCTGGTGAGGGGTCTGGAGCACAAGTCTGATGAGGAGCGGCTGAGGGAACTGGGGTTGTTCAGCCTGGAGAAGAGGAGGCTGAGGGGAGACCTGATCGCCCTCTACAACTGCCTGACAGGAGGGGCTAGTGAGGTGGGGGTCGGCCTCTTCTCTGTGGTAACGGACGATAGGACGAGGGGGAATGGTCTGAAGTTTCACAAGGGGAGGTTTAGGATAGACATTAGGAAAAATTTCTTCACTGAAAGGGTTGTCAAGCACTGGAATGGGCTGCCCAGGGAAGTGGTGGAGTCCCCATCCCTGGAGGTATTTAAAAGATGGTGGGATGGCAGGGTTAGGTCAACGGTTGGACTTGATGATCTTAAAGGTCTTTTCCAACTTAAACAATTCTATGATTCCATGTCTCTGAAAAAAAAAGTTGAAGTGTGTGTTTCAAAACGCTTGTTTGAGAAAGCTCCTACCCAGGGTCTGTTGGCAAGAAGACTGAATTTCTTGCACTGCAGGCAAGGCAGTTTTGGTTTTTTTTTTTCCTTCAGAGGCATATGGGACTGTATTTTCAAGGAGTTAACAGTTCCACAGGGGGCAGATTTTTCATAAGTATTCTGCATGCAGAAGCCCCTTGATTTATATGGACAGATTTAATAAATCTGGTCAACCTGTGTGTTATGAACAGTCCTGCTAATTGGACCTGAAATGGCTGAATTAAAGCATATGTCTAGACTGTAGGAAGAGTGCCCTCAGTCTTTGTCCATTAATCACCAGAGGTGAGGACCAGATGGAGTGGTGTGGCTCTATTTTGGCCCTGGTTTCCTTCCCATGGATTTGAAATATGCATCTGAATCCAAGAGCAAGGCAGTGCTGTTGGGTGTTACCGCAGAGCAACAGCTCTCCAGAATTTGTGGAATAATCACGAGCAGATTACAGTCTTATCCTCTGTCTGATGGATGACATAACCACTTGAATATACTTTCTGTCTGGTAGAAAGTGCTATCACTAACAAAATAACCCCGATCTCCCCTGCTGCAATGTATCCTAGTATTTTATGGCAAAGTGTTAGTAGGTTGATTTGTTGATTTTTCCTCTCTTTTTGACAGCTCCTAGACTGTTTTGTCATCCCAGTGGTGATACTGCTCTCCTGGTTCTTCTTACTGGTACGATACAAGGCAGTACATTTCATTGGGATTGTGGTCTGCATTCTGGGCATGGGATGCATGGCAGGAGCAGATGTCCTCGTTGGAAGACAGCAAGGAGCAGGTGAGTAAGGATGGATGTGTCGTACAGCCAATTTCTGCTCACAGAAGCCATTGACCAGAACATGTCAGGTTGGGATAAAAAAAAGGGGGGAAATAAGCAAGAAACCCTGTACCTTCATGGATCCAAAGCACTGCACCATTCAGAGTTGCTTCTTTATTGGAAGGGACAGAGAACAAAAACGGGCCAGCACTTAGAAGTCAGCACTGCTGCAAACAGACTTGGTGGGCCCTGTGTCTGCAGCCCAGATCGCCTTCTGTGCAGGCCTGGGGGACAAGAGAAATACTTGTAGTTTCCTTCTGGTTTGGCTTAGTTGTTTGACTACAGACCTCAGTTGCTTCCTTTCCGAATTGGCTACATCTCTGAATCAGAAGGACCTCTTGTGTGTAGAATGTTCTTTTTTATGTGTAGCGTCATATGAATAATGTGTGTGTAGCTATTAATGCAGACTAGGCACAGTTAGATTTCATCGATCACCTTCCTCTGTCACACTGATTTCTCTAGTGCCAACCCAAATGATGTGGGAAGGCTGGAAATCCTTTTCAAAGATTGTCAATTAGGCACAGTTTTCATTCTTAATTAAAAGCACTGAATTGTGAGCTGAGTATAATACACTGGGATTTAAAATTCTTGACTCAGCTTTCTGAATACAAATGCAAGTGCTGTAAGAACTGCATTTGCCAGGTTGCTACTAAATAAAACAAGGGTGTTTGTGACAGGACTCACCATATCTCCCTGCCCCCTTTTATCCGTGTCCTTTATCCTAAAAGGAGACTTTTGGTTCATTGGTCTTCTCTAGAAATAGCCCTGCCCCAGCTAAAAAGGAAAGCATATGCTCTGCATTGTGAAATCAGCCAGCCGAAGCTGCATGAGGAACGACTGATTTCAGAGGGATTGGGATTTCAATCCTGGGTTCCAGAGGAAACATCCCGTGTCCCAGTAATCTAGTGAGCAACACGCTAGGGCGGGTGAGCTGTGGATCAGCAGGAGCAGTGGACCTCGGCTGGCAAGGAACAGATTGAAGAACACTGATGCTTTACCATCCAACTGCAATAATTAGATATTATTCACCATATTCATTACTAAAGCATGGGTATAGCTGTTAGCTAAATTTGCCCAGAAAACTCTGTTAACACGCATTATTGCCTTTTAATTCAGACCTACACATGAAAAACTATGTCCATGCTTATTGCTAAGCAGAGAGACTGCAGCTTTTTTTTTTTTAAGTGGTAAAATGATGTTATTAATTATGATGTTTTTAACAGAGTAGAATAGATCAGCTGGTTTAATTTATCTGAAGGGGTAAAAATATATCTTAAAAATCTGCAAATTACAAGAAGCATTGGCAGCAAAAGAAAAAAATTCTTTAAACTCTTCATTAAGGGGTTCCACACCATTTATACAGTATTTCATAGGACTGGGCAAACAAAAGAAAGGAATACACTGAAAGCAGTGATGCTGCATTAGTCCTCAGTAAACTCCTCTGTTTATCCTATATTTTAGGGGACAGGATCTGTTGACACCTGTGTGCCCCTACTATTTACTGTATTAGAATTGCCGTAAGGCTCTGGTAGGCACCTACTACATATGGCCATCTAGCCTGCCAACTCTTACAATAAGGGAAAATGAATTTAAAATGTATCACTGAGAGGTTAACAGGTATTTTACAAATTATCTGCAGGAATTCAGTATAAAGTGCAGGCATGCTCTCAACTTTCAATAAATATATGGTAGTTTACCTCTTTTTATTGTATCCTGACTGATGTTTTGCATATTTCTCAATGGGAAAAACAGTTACTACCAAGTACTTTGTGCTCTATCACCTTACATGTGAATTGTACCTTAAAATAACATTTTTTCTGAACTAATAACCCTGAGGTACCTTGGTACTTGTGCTCCTGTAATATACAGAGGTCTAAGGCACAGGGGTCTAAGGCACAGAGGTCTAAGTGTTTCATACAGATTTTTCAAACCTCTTCACAGCTTTAGCTTACCACAGTCTCGGAAAAACAGTCACTTCAGTCCTGTTAATAAGTATATACGAATATGTTTAGTCTAAGATGGGACACTTTGAGACTGATTTTTAGATACCATGATCATCAGTAATTACAACCAAAAGCAAAGAGAAACACCAGTTAATGCTGGGAGTTGAGGTAAAAAAGGTGGCAAAGTGGCCTAGTGAGAGAGTGAAAAGCAATCACGTCAGAACATCGTTCATATTTAAATGATTTATGTTACACTGTAGTGCTATAACTAGTCCCCAAAACATTTAGTCCTCTTTGGACTATATGACTCCTGCTTCCAGAGGACGCTAACGATGATTACTGCAAAGTGTGTTTTGCCAGGCTATGCCTTGTGTTTCTTTAGAAGAATGACCTATGCCATTAAATTGGTCAAGCACAACTGTATCAGCCTAACAGTCTTTAGAATGCCTCTGGTCAGTTGATATAAATTTCCTTAGCAGTAAACCAGTAGATGCATGTGGATTTTACATCCATGAAAATATGTCTATTAAGATATGTCCATCTCGGGGGAAAGTTCTGAAGTCAGCCTATTGAGGAAGCAAAGAAAAGGCATTTGACAACCAGGATGCTAGAAATTATTAGGAAAGAAACAAAAAATAAAACATTTTTATGCCAGTATATAAAGTTTTGATGCACTAGCCTCTTGAGTACCATGTATTACTCTGGTCACTGCATCTCAAAAAGAAATGACCAGAAAATAAGCTTACTGAAGCAGTGGAGAAAGGTGAGAAAGCTGTTCAGGGGCATAAAATGGCTTCAGGATGAAGAGATTGCAGGCAGACTGGGACTTTTCATCTCCCACAAAAGGCAAGAAAGAGACAGAATATGGTAAAGGTACCTGAAGTCTTCAATGGTATGGACAGGGTCAATACAGAGTGATTCTTAAATATTTCTCACAATCAGAAAATTATGGGATGCCCGTTATAATTTTGAGGTATCAGCCTTAAGAGCTAAAAACACGAAGCACTTTTTAATATAGTGCATGTTTGAACCGTGTAAGTTACTACAACAGGCTGTTGTAGAGGCCAAAACTGTATGGACTTTACACAAATTAATGAAGAATCTCTCAGGATCTATGAATTTTGATGGTCTAATACAACTTCCATCTCAGAAAATCCCTAATCTGCTGAGAACTGGCTGATAAAAATCCCCCTGTGCTTCCCTATTTCTTCATGCTTTCCTCAGCCACCCCATGCTGCCCAATGCCAGAGGAGGGTCCCAGGTCTGACCAGATTTTGGCGTCCCCTTCTGGGAGAGCCCTGAAGGTTGAGGCTCACGCTCTCCGAGCATGAAGGCGCTTTGGGGAGAGTCATCGTGGTGCGGTGCTTGGGGCCATCCCATCTCTATGATAACGCTCAGCCTCTGAGCCGCCTTTGTTTCGTGGATGCAAAAGGAAGATATTTTTGTCTCAGCAGTTCAGCACAGCCAAGCTGTAAGGTCAAAAGCCCTTTCAACAGTACTTCCCCGAAGTGTCAGTCAGTAGCTGTAATAAATACCAAATGAGTGAGCTCAGTGAGGGATGATTGGAGCCACTGTGGAACATCAGATGCAGCAGGGGTATGTAGAAGTTTTGTAAAGTACTGATGCTTCTTTTAAATTAAGGGCATCATCCGTGGCTGATTGCAAAAGAAGGCTAAAAGGAAAATGAGTATCAAAACTTAAAAAGATAAATGGTCAAATCTAAACAGGCTGTCAGTCAAGGCACACGCAAAACAGAAGTTCAGTGAGAGACTGGATGAGTACGTGAAAGAGAAATCTAGTCATGTTTGCTAAATACACAGAAGCCACACCTCCTCTGAGCTGAAAAATGTTGGGAGACTGAGGGAGTATTACTGGGCATATTTTAAACATTTGCCCTCTTCCTATTCACCCCTAAACAACTTATACTTCTCTGGTGCTTACAGCCAGCGTCAGAGACGAGGTATGGGGTAAATGACCCCTTTGGTCTGCCGTCTCATGACCATTCTTATTTTCATAAATTTCTTCTCACTGGAAGTTTGAGAACCATAGTTTTGAATCAAAACTGAAGGCTTAAAAGAACTCCATGGAGAAAAAATGTTGAAAAGATCATTTTGAGCCCATCAGAATCTTTGGCTTCCATTTTTATTTACTGCAGTATCTATTTACAAATCAATAATAATAAAACTTAAAATTAGGCAGGAACTCAAAAAATAAGAGGTATTTTAAAAGAAAACAAGTTTTTTTTCAAAAAACCCTACAGTCTAGTACTTCAGCATTTCTACTGAACCTTTTCAAAGGACATTCCATTATATCCAGCCTTTTGGAATATGGTTCTGCAGCAATGTCTGACAGCTTTGTGAAGCGGTAGCTCTTGTCGGAATCATTTAACAAGCCATATGTGCAGAGAGAATCGTGTGCATCAGTTTGCAAAGCCAGGGCCTCAGTTTTCAAGCTGGAACTTGATCTTGATCAAATCTCCCTGCAGCCCTCCCCACCCCCCCAGTAATAAAAGCCTCCAAGACTTAAAAAGGTTTCAAACAGTCTTTGATAATACAATGTTTTAGTAATTATATATACCTGGAGGTACTGAAAATACATCTTGGTGTTCACTGCATGCATTAGGTACTGCTATGTTAATTGAAGCTCTTTTAAAAATCTGTCATTATCATCACCCTGTCTACACTCCATCCTTCCTCCTCTCTTTCTTGTCAAACAGCTTCATGTGAGAATGAGGTCAATACTGGGGTTGTAATGATTTCTTCACTCATTTCACAGGTACACTGAATTTTTCAGTTGGTTTCACATCTAAATACTGGACATGTTTTAGACTGGTTAGATTTCAAGATGAGATGCAAACTGCTCTATATAGCTGAGTCACATTCTATCTGGAAACAAAATAATAATAATAAAATGAAAAAGATTAGTCACTGAAGAGTGCCTCTTGGTTTCTATATTTTTTAACAATTTTTTCAGATTCTTTCAGATTCTCTTATCCACAGCAAGGATAATGCTCTCCCTATACCTCTGCTAGGTTTTGAATGAAAACTGTTAAAATGACAGAACATTTGCGTTCAGCTTATTAACCCAGATATGGGTTACTTAGTGACTGAGGATTGAAATCTATAGGGAAGAATTTGCAATGCTTCTAATAAAAAGATGGTTGTTTTGACACATTCTGATTTTTCCCCTGTTTATTCCTAGGTGAAAATAAACTGATAGGGGATCTCTTAGTACTGGGCGGAGCAACACTATACGGCATCTCAAACGTTTGTGAGGAGTATATCGTCCGAAATCTGAGTCGAGTGGAATTCCTGGGCATGATCGGACTCTTTGGCTCCTTCTTCAGTGGAATTCAGCTGTAAGTGAGCAGGTTTGAGCCGCAAGGTCATTCAAACAAGTGCAGCTCTTCCCTCTGTTGAGGTAGCTTCTCTTCAAAGGTAGCCATTTCCTGTGGAGAGGAGGTGTCCTCTAATTCTGGAATTTGCATTGGTTTTCATATTTCAGATTGGTGGATTTGAATAATAACACAAATTTGTACCTAGGGACGCTAATTCAAGGGGCCTACAGGAAAGATGGGGAGGGACTCTCTAAGGGTGCATCGTGATAGGATGATGCGGTAATGGTTTTAAACTGAAAGATGGTGGACTTAGATTAGATACTAGGAAGGAATTCTTTACTGTGAGGGTGGTGAGACACTGGAACAGGTTGCTCAGAGAAGTTGTGGATGCTTCCTCTCTGGCAGTGTTCAAGGCCAGGTTGGATGGGGCTTTGAGCAACCTGATCTAGTGGAAGGTGTCCCTGCCCATGGCAGGGGGGCTGGAACTAGATAGTCTTTAAGGTCCCTTCCAATCCAAACCATTCTATGATTCTGTGACTGGTGTCCTTGAATAGTCACATGGGGAGGGAGGAGTAGAAGGTATTTTACTGATTGGCTTGTTCTGTGCAACTACATTATGATATGGCGAAAATAATGAAAAAGCCTTTAGGAAACTGGCATTTTCACTTCAAAATATTTAGTACTCAGGGGACTGTCACATGGATCTCAGGAACTAACGAGTCCTGTTCTATATCCACATGTACTTAATGAGCAGCTCACCAGCAAGACTAAGAGTTGGAAGGTAGCTTCCAGTGTTGTAAAATCGTGACTGATGAAAGTGTAGTGAAAGTCACCATGCAGGACTGCCAGATTTTATGCAGATCCATCATGGGTGCTCGTCACACAGATAACTTTTGATTATTAGTCAAAATCAGGTTGCTCCCTGCACATCTGAGCTACTCAGCTTCTAAGAACAGAGACTGATCAGAACAATGACCCAAATTGCCAGTTAATTAGTTCTATTTCTTTAGCCAGAAAGCTTATTATATTTATGTGGGTTCTGAACATGTGACTTAAAATGATTTATATTAACTGGCTGCCACACAAGCAGTTCCTTTTTTTAAAAATACAGCATTCAAGAGCACGTAAATGTGCCTAGTATCTTTGGCTAAAGCATTTTTGTTACCTACAGTGTTCATGGTAAGTAGGTACTAACTGATTCTGTGGGCATCAAAGCAGTGCCCTTGTCTTGCTCTGTGTGTGCATAAACTGTCATGTACATATCCTGTATTCCTGAATTTAATTATAGTGCCATTGCCCACTCTGGACCCAAGCAGTTAGTCACAATTCAGGGTCCGTGAGTTATTTTGCTGGGGAGAAGAAGCTGGTGCTGGAACAAGGCACCTTTGTACACAGAGAACACAACTGGAAGGAGGTAATAAGAAACCATTTCTTCACTGAGAGACCTAAGGTTTTTCTAGTCAAACTTTGGCCCAAAAATTCTTGCCAGCAGGTTTTTCTCCACTGGTCTCCACAGCTTTTTGCTGCTAGTGCTTTTGTGGCACTTTGTGGAGCCCCAACCACACTTCACTCATATGTACTTTTTTAACAAGGTGGCAAAAGCTTGCATATCAGGAGAGGCCAATAATGTTTTTGCTACTTGGTTGCATGAAGCAATTCAGCATTTTCTTATCTTTACCTGTAATGCAGAGCAGATATCACATAGTTATGAGTTCATGGAGGTTTAATCTAACTAAATGTACCAATTGTTTTAAAGAGAAGGCAGGTCCCCATGTTAAAATTGCAGACTCTTTGAAACACTACTGGCCACTTTGGTGCAATATAGGACCTTTTGGTCCTATAAACTGAAGTAATCTGGGGAAGGAGTGTCTCAAAAATAGGGCCATTTCCCAGCGTGCTAGACACAGCACTGGTCAAAATTTGGTTGGCGCCCACAAGGTGATTGAGGATGAGGAACATGTGTGCCAATACCACTGGAGATTTAAGTCTCATGCTCATAGGATTTACAGGGAGCAGCACAATTTTGAGAAGGGAAAATATCAAAAAGTGTGTAGGCCTATGCTGAATGTAGGAAAGACAAAACAGTACCTACAAGTGAACGTCCCTTTTATTGACATGCACTGGACTCAAAATAGTATCATAGCTAAAAGCTATGGTATTTGCCTCTTATTCCATGAGTAAGTACAAATGTCTACATAAGTGTGGGTGACTCATGTTTGTTCATGCTTCAGCTCTAGTACAGGGTGGTGTCTCCAAGAGGATTTTCAAGAAGTAGGCTGTTGTTTTCTAAAACAGTTTAGCAAGAGTGCTTAATATTAGACTGTAATGTAAAATAAACTCAGATAATGTCTGTTGAACAGCAAATGAAGGTCTAAGGCATCAGGGCAAACAGTGAAGTAAAGGAAAGAGTTGGCTAACTACCCTGGCACGGTGGAAAGAGAAGTTTTGTGAGTTGAATGTGATTAAAGCAGGGAGAAACTGTATATCAAACCAAGACATTAGTTGACAGGAGGTGTGGATATAGCAACTACCCAGAAAATGGAAATAATGCTGTCTGATGGGATCACATAATCATAGAATAACCTACTTTGTAATGGACACCTGAAGGTCATCTTTTTCAAGCCCCTACTCAAAGCAACTCAAAGCTAACTTAAAAGTTACAGGAACTTGTACAGTTAACTTTTTAATATCTCTAAGAATTGAAATGCCAGTCTTGCTGGGCAACCTGTTCCAGTGTTTGACCAGTATTTTTTTCCTTATATCTAATCAGAGTTTCCCACATTGCAACTTGTTTACATTGTCATTCATCCTTTTGTTGTGCACCTTCAAGAAAAGTCTGACTGTCTTTTCTGTGACCTACCCATTAGGTAGTTAAGACAGCAAATTTATTATCCTGTCCTTCTTCACCTGGGTTAGCCTTCCCTTCTTCACACTGAACAATCCCTGCTGTTTCAGCATCTCCTCTTACATCCCGTGCTCCAGCCGTGTGACCATTGTGATGGAGCTTCACTGTTACTCCCTCCAGTCTGTCAATGACTATCTTATTCTGGGAAGCCCAAACTGGGTACAGTACTTCAGTTGCTATCTCACAACTTGCTGGCCAGACTCTTACTAATACAGCCCAGGATGCTGTTGGCCTTCTCTGCTCCAAGGACACATTGCTGATTCATGTTCGAGTTAATGTCCACCAGGACTCCAAGGTTTATTTCTAAAAAGCAGCTTTCTATCCAGCCAGCTCCCAACCTGTACTATTGCATAGGGTTATTCCACCCCAGGTGCAGGAGTTTGTATTGGCTTTTACTGAACTTCACGAGGTTTCTGTTGGCCCTTTTCTTCAGACAGCATTGTGGGTAGCCCACCCATCCAGTCCATACCTCTTCAGTCTCTAAGGATCTTTTGAGAAATCATGTTGGAAGCTTTGCTAAAGTCAAGGTAGGTTACACCTCATCCTGTCATCCTTGTCCTTTATTTACTGAGCCAGTCATCTCGTCATAGATTCCATTTGGTCAGGTATGATTTGCTCTTGAGAAGTCTGCGCTGATGTTTTCCAGTCATCTCTTCTTCATTTTCTGCTTCTGGAAAGATTTCCTCCATAATCTTCCCAAAGGTTAGCATAAGGCTGGCCAGGCTAAAGTTTTTTCTCTCTTTGAAACTGGGTGTTGCATTTGTCTCTTTTCAGGCTCCAGGGTCCTCCTCCAATCACCACAGCCTTTCAGAGATCATTGTGGTTCCAATTCTTCAGTGAATCTGGCATCACTAAATGGCAACTTCTGGCAAGGTTGCTCTTACCCCTCTGTTTCACAGATCATAATGAATCACAGACCATAGCATATTGGTTTATACTTCTTTTGTATCAGATAGGCAATAGTATGAAAGCAATGTTCCTACCTTTAAGTTATATCAAAATTTGTTTGCCAGAACAACAGACACTGCAGTTTGTTTTCATTATATTCTTCAGGAATTGCTGATAAAAGAAACATATGCCTTATGCATGCAAAGACACTCATAATTTAGTTATTTTGCAGACAAAATAATCTTATTATTCTATACACAGTATTAAATTTGCCACACATCAGCAGCAAGCAAATTAGAATTTCCAGGATACAACTCTCTAGACCAGATTAATCTGGACAGCACTGAGTTCCTGCAGTTTTACTATTAGGCTTGGTCTTCCATATACCACCTTTTGTACTAGGTACTTTGTTTTTCAATCTGTGTAATTCCATGTTTTATACTTGTTTAAAATAGTGTCCAGACTAGCATGCAGAGTTTTGCACAGCAGGAGTTATCTGCAAATAACAGATCAGAGAAGGCAGTTAGCTGAGTGAAGACCTAGCTCGTGAGATACCTAATCTCCAAGGGTTTATTTGCCTGGATTGGGAAGAGCTGACTTGTTGCCACCTTAGAATTTTCTGGATCTGGGCTTTCAATGTTAATGTACAATGCAAGACTTACAAGACATTGAAAGTGGACTTTTGCAGCTTGGCCAATCCTTTGCTTTGTTTCCAGATTTTCATTGCTGTGACTGTTTGATCTTTCTCAGTGTGTAACAAATCACAGTATTCTCCCCAAAGCCAGCCTGTGATATTTATTTGACACTGCAGAGATGCTCTGAAGAGTGAATAACTCAGACAGATACATTATTAATCATTTAAGTTCAAAAGGTTTTGGAATATTAAGTCAGAAGAGTACGAAAGGACTGAACATATAGGGGGATGGGCATATTGGGCAGGTATATAGAGAGCTGGAAATAAACCAGTACAAATTGTACGCTATCATGTCTGATTACTGCCCTAAAGATCTTTCAAATACACGGGCACAGGGATAATGCCAGAGTGGATTAGCAAAGTCTGACTGCATTTGGTTCCTGCAGAGATTTTTTGTTATGAGGTTATTTATGTTGTTTTGTCCAGCATTAGAATTGAATGAGTGGAAGTAATTTAACTTCTCTTCCATCAAATTTTGCCTTCTCTTCTCTTACAGTGCAATCATGGAACACAAAGAGCTATTGAAAGTTCCCTGGGATTGGCAAATAGGTAAGAAAACACTTTACCTCATTGAAGATAGTTGATGAAGGAGGCGTGGGGACAACCAATGTTTGGGGAGGCAGGCACGAAGTTTCACAGGAGCCAATGTTTGTGACTTTTCCGCCAGTTACTGCCAAAGGTTGAACCACATGCCTCATAACCTTTCTTAAATTATCTGTCCTCCCATTGCCATATTATGCCTTCCTTGCACCATTAGGTTAAGCATATGAATGCCGTAAGATAATTGTTCAGACAGCCGTGAAGTAAAACAAAATGGGGTTCCAGTTCTACGATTCAATGCAACACTGCGGCAAATAAATGAGGTAGTCATTAAGAGCCAAACCTTTTCAATGAATGCCAAAGAAAGAAAATGGAACCTAACAAAAAACTATAAAAATACTTGCAGTGCATATTATAGCCCCATAAACTCATTTGCAAGAGGAGCATTTCTGTATGCAAATGGTTAATTGCTTTCCAAGTAGTCTTGGTGGAATATAGCAGATGTGTCTTCTAGGCGAGTTTAGGTAGCATTGTGCACAATGAAGCTCATATGGTGTTTTGCTATGCAGTGGATTGCATGTTCCCATTTCAGTTTGCAAGCTGAGTTTATGATCTAAGACTCACTTCTAATTAGCCTAACAAATTATTTGCTTTAAAAGCAAATCAACATTTAGGACAGTCCCTGTAATCACTCTTTTACTATTTATGACAATAGAAGAGATAAAAGAATGCTAACAGTATAGAGCTGATATACTTAGCTGGGGGGTCAAACTTTGGCAATCCACTGAGAATAGCTTGTTCCCTGGTTTCAGAATGAGTATTGAAATGACAGCTCAGAAGTGTGCAAAGGCAACTGATTATGTGGAGCGTCCCTGAGGGCAGGAGGTACAAATTATGGAATATGCTGTTGTTTTCTTTAAACTTAGTTCACAATTTCATCTCATCATCATAAACCTTAATAAAAACAGTGTGTCTCTCACCAAACACCGCACCTAGAAGTCTTGGAGATTTGATGGTTGAGCTGTAAAACTAAATGACAAATTGATTTAAAGTATCCATGGAGAAACACACTCAACTGCGTACTATAAGTATATTGGCCTTTTTTAATCTGAGATAATTAACATAATTGCATCAGTGTTTGTTTATACTTCATGATACGGAGCTCAGAATTAATCTGGTACTGATGGAACTAGCAATGATCATAGTGAATTAATCTACTGTCCATGTAAATGTCATATATACTTCCACGGGAGTTCTGTTGTAACTCAATATCAGTGAAATGTGCTATTAAAATAAAATCAAGTAAGATTTTATCAGTCTGTGATGCCACTGAAATGTCATTGAAAGTTAGTCACTAATTCTGAAGAGTCCCTATGCTTCATAAGGAGATCACCTTAGCAAGAACATCATAGATATGTCCTTGTTTTTTTAGAGCAGTAATTGGAGACGCGGTGCAGTTGAACGTGGATTAAATGGTTTTTGTGTAGTTTTTGCGTTCTTCCCTGGCTTCCACTACACTCGGTGTGCTTTCCATTGCATTGGCAGTGATACAATGTTGTCAAGTAGTGATTGACAAATCTATGTCAGGGTGTTCACAGCCTTGTCCTGAATAGTTATCCACTGCAACAGACTCAAACCTGCAGTCCAGCAGAGTTAAATCATCAGCCTTCTGAATGGTAGTGATAAAGTCACAGCAGGCAACCTAATAAATAACTCAAGGTGGCCTATTGCCATCTGCCATAATTGTGCTATTAAGAATGGATGAGCTACCTTTCAACCGATGTAAAATGCAAATTATTTTGGAATATAAAGATCTAAAGCCAATCTGTTATGTCTAGCATGTTTAAAACAGGCTGTGGCCCTCCTGGTTTTAATTTTGGAAATTCCCCTGACACATAGCATCATCTTCACACTTAGTATAAATCAGTGTAGCTCTGTTTGAATCCTTGAAGGTTTAAGTATTAATACTCAATGACAACCTGACTGAAAGGAGAATGATTATACTGTTCTGATTGAGTGGTTTCATATGAGACCATGACACATTTTGTAGAGTGGCACATGAAATAATAACAAATAAATTAACACCAGTTTTTTTTTTTAAGAAAAAAGCCAGTTTGAATCTCCAAGGAAGTGTTCTGTGTTACAGGGGGGTTGAACATTTCTGAATGGTCTTTATTCCAAGAAAACAGCATGAAAAATCGTAACTGATTGCATTTCATCCCAATGAAATCATACATTTTGGAGTAGAAATGTGAAGGATAAACATTCAACATTCAACCAGCATGCTCAGGAGCTAAAACAGAAGTTCCCAGGCATGTTAGTCTTGGTAGTACTTGGGCTACTTTAAAGCAGTCCCTGGGGACAGATCCTGCCCATCTGTGTGAAGATGCCTGGTCTTAAGACAACTGAGGAGATACTGAGGGATCAGTGCTTGTTCATCCTGCAGAAGAGAAGGCTTTGAGGAGTTACCTACAAGGAGGTTATCAAAAGGACAGAGCCAAGGTCTTCACAGTGGTGCATGGCAGGAGGATGAGGGACAACAGGCAGAAGCTGAAATGGGAGATTCAGACTGGATAAAAGGAAAACCTTCACACTGAGGACAGGCAGGCAGTGGAGCAGATTTCCTACAGAGGTTGTGCATTCTCCATCCTCAGAGGTTTCAAGACCAGGCTGGACAAAGTCCTGAGCAACTTGGTCCAATCTCACAGCTGAGCCTGGTTTGAGCAGGGTTTGAACTAGAGACTTCTAAGCTCCCTTCCAGCCTGAATAACCCCACGATCCTGTGATCCTAAGTGCCCAATTCAGACACCTACGAGGCATTCATACCCAAACAGGAAAAACTGGTGACCTTACCCATCAGGGTGAGCACTGACAGGCAAGATGGGATTCCTTCCGCCACCTTTAGATAACTGGAATGTGGACATCTGATTTAGTTAAATAGACTCCCTTATCATCAGGAAGAATAAAGAGGCATGACAGAAATCATACTATGATTAGACCTAGGCTGGTGACTTAAAGAAGTTGGACAATCTGCACCCTAAAATTTCCCAATCTCTTCATTGACCACCAACCCTCAGTATGTGTCCAGAGTAAGGTGTAAAGAATCCCATCCACAGCTGCCTTCAGGCAGATTAAGCCTTCAGTTCAGGACAATGCCAGCACACCTGAAAGCAGACAGTTACAAATTATGAGCTTCTCAGGGTTTAACACGGACCAGCTGATCAGCAGATCATTACAAAAGCACCTCCTAATGCACCAGGTTGCTTCCTTTCAGTGCTTGCTATGGGTAATTTGTGCCTTTGACTCAATGCCTGGTTAGATGTGGGGCCCAGCACCTGGGGCTGCAGCACTCATGGCTGTTCCCAAGGCTGCCATTAGCACTGCAGGGGTACCCAAGGAAGCTGAGGCTCCAAGCCTTTGACTTAAATCGTATTTTTTAGTCTGAAAAGTGGCCCTCTAAGAAGCAATACCTGAAAATCATATGATGTTATTTCCAGTTTGCTTATTGTCACAACTAAATGCCATCCAGCTGGTGGGTATTACGTGTATTTTTAAGATGTAAATGAAATGCTACTTTACATTCACCTCTGATAGGACAGCTACAATTTAAGCAATTTTTTGCTGGAACTGAGATGCCCTTTGGAAAAGCAGCCTGTGAAGTGCTTGTAGTTGGCTGCCAGAGAATATCAACACCAAGGCAGTGCCATAAAATTATACTGTTAGTTGAAAACATAACCCAGCAAAGCACCTGAATTTGTGTGTTAAATCCAGATTGACTAGCAGGGCTCAGTGGACCAGCTAGTGGTTTGCAGACTGTGCTTTGAGAATGCTGACTTCAGGTCCAGAATGGCTTTTGTGCCTGATCTGTTCTTGATTTAAGCCTGCAAGAAAAGCTGACTTAATAATGCTCATGTATGCAAACCATTTCTCATTGATCAAAACTACGCTCCATTTGATGCAATCATTTGCCTACTACAGAAGAGTTGCAGAGTTTGCATAAAGTGACTCTTTCTAGCACTGCCTAAGACTGATGCTGTTGGTACCCATATACAATGCACACCTTTAAAATTTGCTGCCTGTTATTAAAAGCAGTTCTCACCCTGATTATCTGTATACTGAATATAAATTCGTTATCATGCCATAACAATTGATACACAGACACTGACATTTTGTGACTGCTGTATTTGTTTCAGATGAATGTACCCTTCAGTTCAGATGCTTCTAGGGGTCTCAAACTGTCATGGCTGATTTTGTCCTTTAAACAGCTTTTCTAAAGAGTTTTTAACTAAGTGGATCCACAAGCAGATACAAATAATATGGGCTTTTTTTTTTGCCCCTTCTAATTCCTTTCAGAACTTTGGCAATCAGATTTTCTGCAACTTTTAGTCAATAACAACATGCTCTGAAGAGCTGGCATGAGTCTAAATTTAGGCTCATGCACATATCAGCTGGGAATTCTGCAGCATACGGCAGCCTAAGAAATATCATTTGCATGAGAGCAGATGAGCGAAGTGTTTGCTGTTTTTTTAACTTCATATTGATTAATGTGCCTTGGGATTTATCAAGTAATTACTGAAGCAATAAATTCTTTCCCAGTAAGTTATTTAGGTTTTTAAATGAAATTAGATTTTTACTATACTGTATTTTTATTATATTAGTGTCTTAACAATCTAATTTGCGTAGACACTCTGTAAACATGTAGCAAGAAACAGTCTCAGCTCCAGAAAGCTATATTAAGGAAGGCAGACAAAAGTGTTAGAGGAACAGAAGCACAAAACTGAAGTGATTTATCAGGTTTGGTGGCAAAATAGGACTAGGACCTCTGTCACTTGAGTGCTGTCCTCATGCATTCATCCATTGGCTCATTAGCTCCTCTGCAAATACTTTTGCATTCACTTTTTGGGTCCATTCCCAAAAATATTGTGTGCTCCATCCAACTCAGCTGAACTCAGTTGGTGTCGGGGACATTCGGCTCCTTAAGAGACTAGAATTGATGTGTCCAAATGAATCATTTATGTTCAAATTTATATCCAAATTTATGTTGGACATGGGGTATTCACTAGTAGTGTGAGATGCCAATTTAAAACAGCACTGCTGTTATGGTGACCACAGAGAGCAGACCTTCTGTCCACTTCTGTGAGGTGTGGTTTTCACTGGTTTTCATGTATTTTTAGAATGATGCTCTTTATCTATCTATCTATGTATATGTGCAGCTTAATAATTTGAATCCATGTTTTTTTGAACAGCATTCTTCATCCTTTTCTGAAAACACAGCCTTCTTCCTCCAACATGGGTCATTTCTGCAGGCTACAGAAGGTCACTTTGCTTCTTGTTTCTCTTCCACAGGCTTGTTGTATGTGGGCTTTAGTGCCTGCATGTTTGGCCTCTACAGCTTTATGCCAGTGGTCATAAAGAAAACCAGTGCTACTGCCGTCAACCTCTCCCTACTCACGGCTGACCTGTACAGCCTCTTCTGTGGATTATTCCTCTTCCACTACAAGGTATGCCGAAATGAGAGGTACACTTGGGTAATAGCTGTGAGCCTGAAGAAACACCAGTGCAGAACAATGAAACAAAAGAAGCCTCCAAGCTTTGCTACTTCTGTACAGTAAAAGTGCAGATTCTTTTTAATACTTCAGGCTTTCTACACCAAACCCAGTTTTATTTTGTGATTTGCAGTTGTTAAAGAGAGCTCGCTTGGTCTTGTTGTTACAAGTTTTAAGATTTGAGTACCTGTTCATCAGCAAATGTATCACTAATTGCATTTTACTTACCAGAGGTACCTTTTAACTGCTGTGACCAGACCCAGGTTGGCAGCATGAAGGGAAGGACTCTTCCAAACTTCCCATAGAAATTTTTTGCCTAGTAAGAAGGTTGTTTCATTCATGCTGATTCTGTATTTATTACTTGTAAGTGTCCGTGAACTACAACTTTCTTGTCAGCCAAACCAATGGCTTGCCTGTTAGTGTAAATGCCAAAATGTGCAGCAGATTTGTCTCGAAATTAAACTTTTATCTCTCGGGTCCTCTAATATTTACAATACTGTGTTGTCCAGGCACACATTTGGTCTCTAACTGCAAGGAATGGCACTTCATTTTTCACAAGTGTCCCCCCCCAATGTCCATCATATGAAAGTGGCATCAGGGTGCCATAGGCGATTGCTTTGTACCATCATTTATTCATAAGAGGGAGGTTACTTGGTAACTAAAATGGCGGTCCAGAAAAGTGTTAGGCAAATGAAAGCCTTAAAATACTGAGTAGCTAACCAACCCAAATCAGATTTTGTGATACTAATGGTACCTGAATAACTCTGAAGGAGACAGTGAAAGTTCAAAGCTTCACAGTCCAACACAAAATTGGTTTTTGCTATTGCCTTTTATATCATTTGTATGGCTTTAAGAATTTTGCAGACAGAAGAAAAGCAAGTATAAAGTGTTTGACATTAGGTATTAACTGAAAATTGTTATCCTCTGTTAATAATATTATTTGATACGCACAGCAAAATATATTTAGTGATGTTAGTCCACTGCTTCTAAGGAAAATATCTCTGTTATACAATAAAAGACAGACAAATTTAATTCTGAAAACAGCGGTGGTGGTGTTTTAGCAAAATCAAACTCTGTAAGAGGGAGGGACTCAAAAGGCAGCAGGGGTTGGGCAGCTTTGTGCTCAGCATTGCTCAAACCTGACAAAAAAGGCAATTTTGCAAATGCAAACCTTAAACTTCAGGCACCTGAAAGGCAGAAGGTGCATAAAAGGTTTCAGTTTTTCTCTGTGCCTAATTGTTGAGTACATTGGCAGAGCCAGGAAGGCAGAATTTTCAACCTCATTGACCCCCTGTCTTTCTACTGTATGTGCATGTCAGCTCTTGGCCACAATAGCACCTTGGCCTCCCTTTAAGACCCATACTGAAAAACTGCACTGGAGGAGAAGCCTCAGAACTGGAAAGTTTTCTGATTGCAAGCAAGGTCTCATCATCTGTCCTGGCAAACCAGTTGAGTTCCACCTCTGAAGAAACTGGTGGTCCCCTCTGCACCTTACTCATCTGATTAGAAAACTGTTTGAAAATCTCATTCTCCTGCAGTTAACTGTATCATGAAGTCTTCTTCACAAACTCCTATCAAACTCTTACTTCAGCCTATTTAGGTTTTTTACCTCCACTGCTCTCCTTGGGATACGGTTTCAGACCATCACTGTTCCAACAGTTAGAAACCTTATTTCCAGCATAAATTTACTTGTTGCTGGTTTTGATAGAATCATAGAATGTTTTGGGTTGGAAGGGACCCCTAGAGGTCATCTAGTCCAACCCCCCTGCAGGAGCAGGGACACTGCTAACTAGATCAGGTTGCTCAGAGCCCCGTCCAACCTGGCCTTGAAAGTTTCCAGGGATGGGGCCTCCACTACCTCTCTGGGCAACCTGTTCCAGTGTTTCACCACCCTCATTGTAAAGAATTTCTTCCTTATATCTAGTCTAAACCTACCCTGGTTTAGTTTAAAACCATTACCCCTTGTCCTTACACAGCTGGCCCTACTAAAAAGATTGTCCCCATCTTTCCTATAGGCCCCCTTTAAGTACTGAAAG